GCGTGGCTTCCTTTCCTCACACTTTACTGATAACATTTAGTGTCCATTTGAGAAGCAAAAGGTTCTTTGTGGTGCTAAGAGGCATGGTTTAGTGGTGGACTTGGCAGCGCTGGGTTAACAGTTGGATTTGATGAGCTTAAGGGTCTTTTCCAACTTAAATGATTCTATGATTCTATGTTATGATTCTAAGATACAGAGTTTGATCTTGCCGAACTGCTTGCTTCATTTTTTCCTTCCTAGTAAGGTCTGCCTGACCTAGTAAGATAAGTTTTGCAAGTACTTTAGGATGGACCAGCTCAGAGCTGTCAGCAAATGAGTTGCCAAAAAACTTTACCGTCCTTACTGATATGCGCATGACTGAGGTATAGTTTTACAACAGTATTGTTTCTTCTCTGCTTAGTAACTTATCATGGGGTTGTAAGTTTCTGTGACTATAGAGTAAAAGATACATCCAGCCACTTGAATGCTTTACCCGTAGCTTGTTTCAAAAAGTAAAGAAAACTATAGCCTAGCAAAAGGGAATAGATAGCAATTGTATTCTTCAGCCTACTGAGCGCTGCTCCAGGGCAGAGTAAACTAAAATAGGACAGAATTTGCCCTTGGAATATTCATGGATATTCCACAGAGATGAACTGTCTGCTTGTGCAGTGAATTGGATGTCATTGCCAGTATGTGACCAAAGTGAGGAGAGATTGGGAGGAAGATCCTGTCTCACACGCAAAAGATTGTTCCTTTTCCTTGGAAGATAAGAAAAGTGTTAAGAGTTAACTGGCTAACATTTTCATGAGTATTTCAAGCCTGGAACATATAATTTAATGCTCTGAATAATACTGGACACAGAGCTCTAATTATATCTTTATTCCCAGAACTTCTACTGAGCTGATGAGTATCTTCTAGCAAGCTGTCCATCCTCATTTTAGAGGTTTCGGGTGTAGCAAATGTGTTTCCTCTCTGGATAAATTCCCTCCTTGTTAATTATAGGGTCTGTTGAAACTTTGTATTTTATTTCTAATCTGAACAGTCCTACTTTTAACTTCCAACCATTTAATTTTATTATAGCATTTTCTATTCTGTTCAAGAACTATCTACCGGCAGATACCTCTTCATCTTTTGAATAAATGGAGCAGAGTGAGCTCATTAGGTCTCCCAGGAAGAGGTGTGCTTCAGACCTCAGATCATTTTTTAGCTCTCTTCTCAGCCCTTAGCAGTTTTAGGGAGTCTTCTGCAGATGTAAGCCCCTGCAGCAAGCACAGCACTGGGTGCACAATCTACCATTGCCCTGGTTTCAGCACATCGCAGGGTGTTCCCTTGTGTCTGCACCAAGAGGTGGTGCTCGCTCCCCTCGGCTTTCCCATGGGAGCTCAAATTCAGTCTCTTTCTGGTGCTTCTGGCAGCAGATACAGAAGAGGCTGAGCTGGTCTATACTGGGGCACCAGGAAGTCACTGCAGTGGTGGCAGAGTGGGCAGGAGCATGACCAGTTCTATGCAGCATCGCGCCCAGCCAGGTTAGCCTTGCTGAGGTGTCCCTTTAGAATTGCTACTGGGCTTTGCTTGCCTAAACCACTGCAATGTGTGGCCAAGACACCTGCATTTGGGGTTTGCTGGTGGCAATGGCTTGGTGAGTGAAGTGGGAGGGCAGCAGGTGAGCTGTCAGATCCCATCAAAACCACTGTGAATTTATGCGTTTACATTGGGTGGGTTTAGATGCGAGGGCTCTGTTCAAGTGGTCAGAGTACAGTCAGATCTGGAGTTCAGGGACTTGTGCCAGGCTGCAGCTCAGGGCTGGTTATTCTTTACCTGGAGTGCTGATACACGTACTGCAAAGCTCTCTTCCTAATATATGCTTCAAATCTAAAATGAGCAATGGAATAGTCCCTCCAAGCAGGGATATGCCGTTCGGGAAGGCTGCATGCCGAGCCCAGCAGAGCACCAAACATGCTTTAATGGCAGCTCAGGGTGACATTACTGCAAGAGGTGTAAGACCATTGCATTTTGGGTTTTGAGCTCCATAGCCTCATTAGGAATTAAAACATACGTGGGTCTATCTCCCCTGGGATGTTTAAGTTAGCTGACTGTAGGCATGGTGATACAAGCTGTAAAGGTTCAGAGAATTACCTTGATGGAATGACGGTGTCTTCCATTTTGACTGCAATCCAAGGCTCATTTTCCCTCAGAGGCATTCATTGAAATTCTGTGCATGATTTGTTCCTCTGATTGTTTAACAATGTCTCTCATGTTTGCCCTGATTTAAAAAATCCTCCTTTGTAGCAGAGATAACATAGAGCAGGATGGTATAATTGCAGTAAAGAGGCCCTGGAGCTTGCAGTAATAGGATGGTTCATCTGATGTGTACTGCCATTAGAAAATAACCCACGTATGTATGTTCTCAGGGGACAGTAAAGAGGCTTTTAAGGATTACACTTTATGTAATATGAAAGCTAATGAGCGAAAGAGCAAGTATGAAGCAAACTATTGCTGCAGGAAGCATGGTGCCACTTCCTGTTCTCACTTGTTTCCTGACACCGGTGTCTAGCTCCGAAACATCCATCCCTGCCCAGCAGTGCATGGCTTCTCGTGCACTGTGGTCAGTCCCCATGACTGATCGCATGTCAAAAGCATGGCTGAGCTGACTTGAGGATTGAAAATACTCTGTGTGGACAAGGTTAATAATTTTGGGGGAATAGTGATTTCTGATAGGCTGTGCACTAAAAATTCTTCCCTGTGAGGGTGCTGAGGCGCTGGCACAGGGTGCCCAGAGAAGCTGTGGCTGCCCCATCCCTGGCAGTGCTCAAGGCTAGGTTGTTCACAGGGGCTTGGAGCAACCTGCTCTAGTGGAAGGTGTCCCTGCCCGGGGCAGGGGTTGGAGCTGGAGGAGCTTTAAGGTCCCTTCCAACCCAAACCATTCTGTGATACCATGATGATGTTTCTATCACTAAAGTAATGGCAATGCAATTGTATTACTGGAAGCAACAGAAGGACTTCTCTCTAGTTGACCCTAGCAATGCCCTCCTGTCCCTGCAGAGCACCAGTCCATCACCCTGGGCCTGTGCATCCCGGTCCAACTCTGTGAGCCCAGATGCAGTGTTTGATTGCATTTCCCAACTTAGCATCACTTGATCCCTGGCCCACCACCAGTCATTCATTCCAACATCTGGGACTTTGACAACCGCATGTGACACAAGATGAATTATCTGTTGCTGCTTCTGCTGTCAGTTGACTCCTCTCTGCTTAAACTGTGTCTTGCAGATACCGGAATAGTAGTGCTAAATTCTTTATTTCTGTCCTTTCTCTCCCTCCCCCCATAATTGGGGTACAGGAGCAGAAGAGGACTTGTAATTTTATTATTGCTGTATAAGCCTTCTGGAAACTCACTTACAGCACTTTTGATGTTGGTAATTTTTGTGACTAAAACATCTGCTGACACTGTGTTTGTGCATAGGAAAAGAGCAAATCTGAATGTATAATAATCTGGTGCATTTGGGAGATGTTTGATGCTATATCCCAGCCAAGTTAATCACTCATGGAATTGATTTATTTTTTTTTGCTCAGTTGACTGGAGACATTAATCTCGTATCCGAGGAAAAGCATCTTTAATGCCAAAAAATTGATCAGAGATGCCTGGCATTTCTCTGGCATCAGGGAGATTTTAAAGGGAAGCTCTCAGCTGACAATAGGCTGGCAGAAACAGAGACATTCCTTACTTTATTTTTCTTACATAATGAAGAAATACCCAGGTGATGATTTCCAATTTGTGAAGTATATTGAGCTGTGTACTGTAGTCATGAATATCAATTGGGCAGACGTGACACACATTTTTCATACGAAATAACGGAGTTGCTCCTTCTGATAATTCTTCTTCGCAGAAATATGCTTGTTCTGAGAACATCAGTACAGAGTTAGCAGTGCACTGCATTGCTGCATGTTAACAAATACGAGTGCTAAAGGGCACAGGATGTCTTAAAGAGAAATTATTTGGGGATTTATAATGCCTGTGGCTGGCTGCATTTTTCACAGATGGGATCTTTTTCCCCCTTTCCCTTTTCCCCCTTTCCCTTTTCTGACCTTTTCTGCAAAATCCCTCATCTGTAGGCAGCAGCATTCCCCACCAGCCCACTTCCACCCAGCAAGGCTTGTTCTCAGGCTAGAGAGTGTTGCTGCTGAGCAGCTCACTGCTCAAACTGCCTTTCCCATCCGTGCTCCTGCCTCACTGGCACGTCAGCCTGCCCTCTACATCATACAGCCTTTGCCCATTTCTCAGTTAGCCCTAGAGGAGCCATGCCAGCAAGAAACCTGCAGTGTTGTGGTGACTTTGAGCACAGAGCCCATTGCAGTTTGAAGCAGAAGCATCAACTTCTCATCCCTGTGCAGCTGTTTGTGTGTCGGCAGCATTCCCACCAAGCAATGGGGAGGACCAGACGCTCCTCAAGTTTTGATTTTCCTCTTTTGCCAAACACAAAACTAGTGGGGTGGAATATAACTCTCAATACTCCCTAATAGTATTAAAACCCCTTGCAAATAGGAACCAGTGGGTATACAGATGTTCTTCTTGGTTAAATAGAGCCTTCTCTGTTTACATCTGCCAGGCAGATGTGTTACCAGAAAGGTAGGAGGGTAAGATAAAAAACATGACCTGAAAGAAAACTACCAGATTAGACTGTGAAGGGCAAATACCTTCCTTGAAGCCAGTGGGAGATTTGCCTCTGAGAAACTAGACAGAAGCCAGTAGCACTTGGTGTCTGTGCAGGGCTTCACAGTCCTGCGCTGCAGTCGGGCATCCCTCAAGGTGGGTCTCTGCTGCAGGGTTGAAGAGCACAAGGAAGGGTCATGTTAGCATTTATTTATTCCCCTTTCATTTTCTCTTCCAGTAACACTTAACTAGAAGCAGAGCAACCTCTTGATGAATGTGGGGAGAAATGATGGGATCACTTGCTGTTCCTTGGAACAGTTTTAATTTGGCCCCTTGAAGCAACAGCACGTTTGAAGGTGTCTGTCTCTTCCAGGTTACCAGCCTGTCCTGCCGAACCAGCAGCAGGGGTTCCAGGGTCTCATGGGAATGCAGCAGCCGCCCCAAAGCCAGAACCTGATGAATAATCAACAGGGAAATCAGGTGCAAGGCATGATGGTGCAGTATCCAGCCATGTCGTCTTATCAGGTACTCGGGGGCTTCAATGCTTTTCGTGGCGAGCGCTTAATTGGATGAAGCTTTCATATCACAGAATGGTCTTATTACTTCATTAGGACAGTGTGTGGCAGGAGGCCTGTGGATAAATAGGCTTCTGACTGAAATTGGTTTCTTTGCTTCCTGTTTACGTATTCCTGGTACTCCTGGTTTTCAATCTGAGTTGGGAATACTTCAACTGAACTATTTATTGCAACCTGCAGTGCGGGTAAAACATCACAAAGGATGAAGGAGTTCTACTTCTTCCTTTGAAGAAAGTGAATTTAAAAGAAAGTAAAGACAAAGCATTATTGTTGGTTTGGGGGTTTTTGGTTGTGGGGTTTTTTGCCAGTGCAGTATTGTTTCCTGTAATGAAGCTGAAGGCTTTCCTGATCCAATAAAAATTACTCATCTGTGGAGACTCCTGCCAAGGATCTCACCATGCCTCCTGTAACAAGCTGTAGCCAGACAGATTTCTGTTGTTTGCGGAGAGGCAGGGCAGTGGCTTGATTTTTACCAGGTCTGTACGTTACCCAGACCTTATACCTGGTTTCTGTGAGATTGCCAAGAACCTGTGAGAGGAGGCCTGTGCTTATGTTTCCTGCTGCTCCCTCTGGAAATTAAAGAACCTAAATGACATCAAATTCATTTTAGCAGATTGCACTGGGTGAGCAGCCATTCACCCTTTCCCCTGCCTGCTCTGAAAACACTACAGCAACCCAGGTGGAGATGGGGGAATCATTTGTGGGAAAAATGTTCCCCTTACATCTTCAGAATTGCTATATTGAGAGTGTGTTTTGAAGGTTATTGACCAAGTTAAAGATTTAGACCTTCTAGATGGCCTAGAAACAACGCGGTTGAGTCTTGTGCTTGCTCTGGTCCCAGAAATTCATATTCAGCTACACGATGACAGAGCCGCTTTCTGGACCAAGGTAGCAGGGGGATTTCTCCTTAACCCTTCTCTAACAAAATCCTCAGGGGTGAGAACAGTTCTGGGCAGCAGAAAATGACACTTTTTGGCAGAACATCTTGTATGCTCAAGTTCAGCTAGAAGGAAGGTAGGGAATACATGGGACCTACTCTGATTTGTTTAGTAATTACTATTTTGTTTCCTTCATCTTTCCTTACTCCTGCCTAGGTGCCAATGACCCAGGGTTCTCAAGGATTGCCGCAACAATCATACCAACAACCAATCATGCTACCTAATCAATCAGGTCAAGGAACACTTACAGCCACTGGAATGCCTGTCTACTGTAATGTCATACCTCCTGCCCCACAGAACAACCTGCGGCTGATCGCCCCACACTGCCCCTCCAGTAACGTTCCGGTTATTTCTGCCAGCTGCAGGACAAACTGTGCGAGCATTAACAGTGCAGGGTGGCAGGTCAAGTACTGACACTGGCTCAGTGTGGATACACGAGGATAGTGGTGCATTATCTGACAAATAACTCATGGCCTTCAAACGAAGAGGAACACAACAGGATAATCAGTTGAGGACAGAAACACTGACGATGCTCAAGTGATTTGCTGCTGGAAAAATCTGTAAAAAACCTAAAAATTAAATAAATTTTGAAAAAAAAAGAAAAAAAAAAGATGTTTGCTGGTTAATGGTGCATATTTTTGTCATGTCTGCTAGGTATGCCTTTATAGCTTAGCTAGTGACATGAATTCATTGAGGTAAGATTTTTTCCTACCACTGAACACCACTGTGTAGATTGTAATATCCCCAATTCGGATTAGTTTTGTACTTTGTGTTGAGTTTGTGAAGCTAAAAGTATTTAAAAATATAACAGAATCACATTGTACCAAAGCTGTAATGGAAATGGTAAAATAAAAGAAACTAAAAAAAAAGGAATTACTGAATGGAAGGAATAATTTATATACACTATAGAGGTTTTTTTATGGATATATACTGTATTGTAGTGCTTAATCACAATAAAGCTATTTGACCTCATGGAGAAAGGTCATGTTTCTACCACCTGCTTGGTCTCTTCTCTGTTTCTGAGTGAGTGAACTTCCCTTTGGTTCTGCATTGTGTTGTTGATGTTTATTGGGCTTATGGCAGTTTCACGAGCAGGTGATGTACCTGTGTCTCAGCGTGCAGGAATGTAAGAGCTAAGACCACTGCGGTGTAGACACTAGAAAAGAGTTCAGTGCAGGATGTACCAGATCATCTTCCACTAAGTTTGTGCTTTTCCAATCCCTAGGACCTGTAATGTCACAAACACAATTCACTGCTGCTACAAGCCTCTACTAGGTCATACCTCTTCAAGAGGCCGTACAACAGTTGTATCTAAGAAGACAAAGGAAGACAAAGATGTCCCATGATATCCCATCTGCTGGCTGGAAGATCAGTTGCTACTGATGTAGCAACCACAGAACCCAGCAGTTCTTCTGCCACATAGAAATACTCGACCCAGTTATTGCTGCTCCAGGTACAAAGCTATTTTGCAGCAAAAAGATGTCAAGCCAGGTATCTGGTCCCTCATGTTCAAGTGGTGGGGATGAACAATATCCTTGTTTGTCTCTTAAAACAAGCAGCACAGTGGTTGGCCAGGGATTTTTAGAACTTTGTTTTTGTTTCCTGTGGCATTTCTCATTATGTCCGTGTTCACTCAAAGTCCCAGCTTGTTCTGATCAGTCATTCTTCATTCATAAATGCTGCATGGAATTCCCCATTCTGCTTCAGTGGTGGCAACATTTGAGTCACAAATGTGTTTACCAGGCAGAAGCCTATGTTGTTTTTCACTTGAGCTGCGTTTTTGATCAGTTTTAAACACCTTTAAAATATGAGTTGAGCACTGCAGAATCACACATATGCTCCATGAAAAAGCCTGAGATCCTTCTATGTGTAAAATCTGTACGTGTGATAGTACAATTTTAGGCACAGCCGAGATGACAGCAGCCTGCAAGGCTTTTGATCATTAATCTGAATGTGAAACAGGATTTATTTTACTTTTAAGATGGGTGGCTTTTCCTTTACGCACTTGAGCTGTTGCAGTGGAAAAGCTACAACTCATATTTAAACCAAACATATTTCTTTTCAATGCAATGAACAGATTTCTTCCAGAGTTCAGGTTTTTGGGGCTTTTTTTTATGTTTGTGTCTTGAAGTGTGGAATCCAGTCCTGTGGGATTATAAGAAAGCCAAACACCGAATTTTATGTAGTGTAATCGCAATTCACTTGCTAAGAGACAGTCAAGAACACGAGCAGGTAAGTAAACACAATTCACTTTTCAATTAGATGTGAAATGCCTTGGGAGAGCCTGCTGATTTTCCTTTTATAATTGGAGACACTGCATTTGAATTTTGCTTATGACCCTGACCTCTAGTTTCAGATGCCCTGCATTGTATGGCTTATTTCCTTTTAATGTTTTATATACTACGGAGGTTTCACCCCTGTAATAACACATCATTGGGTTTGCTGCTGCCGAAAGGCTGACGGCTGATTGAATGGGTGTCCTTCTCCATCCAGATTCCAGAGTCCAGCAGGAAAGACCTGCGGGTGACTTTGTGCAGGACAGGTTGTGTGCAGCCAGGCTGAAGGAGAATCGAGGGAGGGCAACCTCTGTGAATGCAGAGTCTGGAAAGAAGAGACCCATTGCTAATCACTATATTTATGTCTCTGAAGCACTACTGTAACTTATTGATCTTCCTTCTCGCCAGAGAACTATGAATGAATTGCCTGGTGAAAATAATCTGCTCTCAGCACCATCAGTCGATGGCGGGCTGGGCTGCAGATGGTCTCAGCAGTGATGGGGAAGGGAGTCAAAACGCAGAGCCTAGGAATCTTCCTCCCATAAAGAGAGCAGCTCCCTCTGCACGTCCTTATGCCACTCCTGGTCGTGTTCCCTTGGTGAACAGCATATCCCATGACTGACCATGGGCTTGACCATGATGATGGCCATGAGCTCCCAAGACTTATCTGTCTCTGCAGTTCAATGACCAGCTTGTGTCAAACGTGGCTGTGGGAACAGGGATGCTGCTGACTGGCCTCTCAGCCTTGTGGCAGCAGCTCCTGCCTGCACATTAACGCACCTTCTCGCTGAAATGAGATGTTTTTATGTGAAATTGAGCAGTTTCAGGAGAAGGCCACAGCCATCCACCCCAGAATGGCCTACATCCTCCGACTGCCTCGCTCTCCAAAGAGTTTGAATCTCCTTAGGCATATGAGGAAACTGAATTTGATCTCCCTCAGCTGTGGAGAGTGCCCTAATTATTCAGGTATCATATACATGGGGGACGATCTCACGTGGTGGTGCACAGATTTGCTTTGTGCTGAAGAATTTGTACTTGAAGATAATGAAGTAATTCTGTTTCTGTATCAAGCACAAAATTATTCCCTGATTTTTTTAATCATACAATGTTTTCATGTCTTTCTCCTAAACCTTTTGTTCATTAATAAAAGTTTTCTGAGCTGAGTTGCTTGGTGGCCTTCTGCTATTAAACCAGAGGTGTTTCAGCATTGTCAAAAGGCGAGGAGGAGACAAAAATAAGTGACCTGCAAATACAAATAACAACAAGTGGTAGGTGAAACTCAGCACATTGCTCTCAGTCCTTTGAAATCCTTTACAGCAGGATATACAGAGCTTTCCTCTGTAAGAGGGGAGCTCTCACACTCAAATGGACAAACTTAGTTCAAGCAACTTGGCAGTAGGCCACTTTGAATTCAGAGTCCACCTCGTAGCAGTGATGTACAGGACATGCTCCTCTCCTGGGGGGTTGCTCTGTCACAGTGGGCTTGGTTTTCCTCTACTCTTCCCTTGGAACTGGGCAGGCTCAGCCCTGATGTGGTGCTAGCGACTGTTTTCATTTTCCTTTTGCCTGCTGCATACTTGCTTTGGTAGTTGTATATTGCTTTCTCCTTGTTCATGTGCTGCAGCTGATGGAAAGCTCTCCCAAGGCCCTGTACAGACTTAATTTGCTACTGTTTTTTCTAAATTAGAAATGAAAGAGGCGTATCCTGAATTAAGCTGACTGCATCAGTTGACACTGATCAGCCTTTTAGATGGGTCTAATTCATTTGGGCTGTAATTTGCAGAGGCTGTATGTCCTAATAGAAGCCAGATGCCATTTGCTATTGTTTTGCCCTTTGTGCTGCCCAAGAAGTTGATGATTTCCTTCTAAAACTGCATTCCTTATATTTCTGTTTAGCTCTGTGTTGAACAGCTTCCTTTAGTGAGGGAAGACTGCATGAATTATCCCAGCAGCAAGGAATGGAAACGTGTGGCAAGGCAGTAGCGTGCCCAGAGCCTCTTGCTCCTTCCCCATCAGGTGCTGTGCAGTGTGGCCCTGGCATAGCCATGGAGTGCTCCAGTGCCACCGTCCACTGGCATTACCTAAAGTGATGCAAAACACACTCTGACCGGTGTCTTTTCAGTTCACAGGGCTGTTGAGCTGTGGCACATGTTGACCCTTTGGGCTATATAGTGATATCTTCATTCAGCCTTGGGTTTTTAAGGAATGATTTTAGAGGCTGCAGATTTAGGAAAATAAGTCAAAGCCCCTTTGTCTTTAATGCTGCAGATGCAGTTTTACAAAAGGAAGTGTTAGAAAGGAACTGTAAGTAGAAGATAATGTTATGGCAAAGAGAGATGCCCCCCCCAGTATAGAAATTATTTCCACTGAACTCTACTGGATACTTCCCTAGAGGAACACTTTAAAAGGGCCTCTCGGAGTGCTGTGTATCTTGAGATAAAAAGCAGACTTCCCAGTTCCCAAGGCTACCTGGGTTTTTCAGCCCTGAGGGTTAATCATATGGGTGTGAACCAAGGCACTTGCCATACCCAGGTTTTGGCTGCAAGTTTATGCCAGATCATCCCTGCCATCATAAAAACCTGCTTTTATCTACGTGGAAAACAGACGAACATGAAATGCTTTGGTAATCTCTGGTGTTGTAGGTAGTGGCTGCTGAATGTGGTAGGAAAACCAAGTGAATTGCTAGTAGACAAGGCTGGAAATTTCCTGCTTGGTTCCTGTTAACTTCGATCTCAGCAGGATCAAATCTTATTGCCAGGTGGAACTTGTGGGTGAAAAGGGCTTCTGTGCGCGCGTGTGTGTGTGAGTGAGAACTTTTGTGGTGGAATAAAAAGAACTGTTTGGTTTTTTCCTGAAGCATTTCATTTAGAAACAAAGGTTTTGCAGAATTTCTTGTGAACTGTGCTCCTGTTTTCCACACTCAGGGTTGCTGATTCACTGAAGGCATGATTAGTCATGGGACGTGCTGTCAGGAGGTGGGTGGTCACGGTACAGTCCTTTGATGTGCAAAATTTCATGCAGTTATTTGCACAGTAAATGATCTTATCTAAGAACCAAGGAGGGAAAAAACCCTGACATTGAGACCAAACTTTAAATGGTAAATCTGGACAAATTCTGCCTTTGAGACAAAAACCCTCCTCAAACACATTAGAGGATATTTCCACAGGGAAAAGAAAATAAATTACAGTCAGTGCCTCACCCTGTGCCACCCATTGTAAGGGCGAGGAGATCACACCTTAAAGGAAAGTGCTGCTGTTGTAAGAGTCCTATAAGCAGCAGTTTAGAGCAATGCACACATACACTCCTGGTTAATCTCATCAACAGGAAGCAAAACAGAGGCCAGTGAGCATCCAGAATCAACCTGACCCAAATTTTCAGTGAGGGCCAAGTCCTGAACACCCTTAAGCTTGAGGTGAGGTTTCTCTCATGTGGAGCAAGCCAGAACGAATTTGCATGAAGCTCACACGTGGCACCTGAACCAAGCTCCTGTTTGCATTAATGGCAGCTCTTTCATTTTGTTTCATCTGTACAGATGAAACACACAGTGTGCTGTGATTCAGAGCTGCTTCGGGCAGCCGCAGCCCAGCATCCTACTGGGTGCATAAGCCTGTTGGGCACCATATTCACTTGACTATGGGCTATGCACAGCTTGATACTTCTTTTATTGGCATGGATATCAAAACCCCACATGTCATGGGGCTTGCTGCTATCTTCCAC